GGTGAGTACCAACTTGAAAACTTAGGCAAAGTTAACGGGCAACATTCACGTGAATACGTACGATTATGGGTGAAACCTTCACACACTCTTCTTAGAAATAGTCCTGCCAAATGCATGTTTGTCTAGAAAACAACACAACTTACCTTCGGTTGGAATGTCGGCAGATGGTTAGGTGGGGCAAACGGAGTGGGACCCGTCGCCAACCCTGGATGTCCCATTAGTCCCGGGTTGTACCCTGGATATCCAGGCACACCCAAACCTTGCCGGTAAAACGGTGAATCGACCCCGCCTAGTTTCGGAATATCTTTAAACTGGAAAAAGATGAACATGCAAATTGTTAATATCCAAAAATCCATTAGTGGAAGCGACTAAATCACATTCTTTCGCTCATTTAAATGTACAAAACTAATGTCCGGGCAGGGCGTTATTGTAGCAGATATAAATACCTGTACTACCTAAATTTTGTCCTAATATTACCACCACAGAACGATTTTGAATCGGCGAAAAATATTAAGGTTTTACCTTAAACATTGATCTATTTCGTCTTATTTTTAATCGCGCTGTAACGATCAGTTTCCAAAAAACCGCTTAAAGACCCTTTAAAATTGATCTAACATGCACTTTATGTAGGTATTTGAAGACCGTCTAGTTAAAGGTTCCTTATTGACTTAATTGTAGGTTTAGCCCTAATTCCCAACGATATACTCACACTGCTCTGAGTTCTTCTAGCCAGCCTGTCGATGGGAGATAACGGCTGAATTTAAAAGAAAATGGTGTTAAGCAAATTCATCTCACGCAACACCTGCATGTAAAATTGAATGGTTTGACCAAAAGCAACTGCTCACCATCTGAGATGAAAAGAGCGCAGAAGCTCCAGGCGGAGGCAGAAGAGACGTGGTGTGTTGATGCACATGAGTGTGGTGATGCTGATGTTGATGCATCTCAGTGCGCAAGTACGGCGGAGGAGCCACTCCTAGTCCCCGATCCTGCGAAGCTAAGAAACGGTTATCCAACTCTCTGCGCAGCATGTCGGTTTGATCCGGGAATGGATGTTTCTCTGTAAAAATTGCACAGCGTAAAAGTTAGGAACTAGGGAAGGTATACAGGGTTATTGACGCTATACGGCACGGAAGCCTGCGGCTAAACCGTCTAATTTTTAAAAAGTATTATTTTATGAATTGTCCGGCGCCTATCGAACGCGCATTTTAAACATATTTTTGTAATGTACAGGGTGTCCCAAAAGCTCTAAAGGTATCAAAGTTGTGTTTTTTTAAATGGAATGTCCTGCATATTATTGCATTTTTGGATTTGCTGAACAAAATAAGTGTCTGTTTTAATAAGGTTTACAATACCTAAATCTTAAGGTTTTTTAAATAATACGAATTTAATCTAATTTTCACGTGTCAAATCCTTTAGA